TTATTTTTTATCCATTTGGCATGAAGAACATATCATTCAACAGCTAAAAGCCTCATCTTTTCGAATATGAAAACAACCCGTTCATATACGCCGAGTAATTCAGACACAATAGCGCGCTGACGTTCGATTACTTTTATTTTGACACACCCTGTATAAAATCAACATTCACTCTGGAAATTATTTATAGCATAATTACTACATATCAGATTTGATTGACAGGCGTATCGATTTCGACCAATGGGAATTCTGCCTTGTGTGGGCAACTTTGCCAGGAGTGAAGGAGGCAAAGGTTTCAAAAACATGTAAGAAATTAAACCTTCGAAAATCGTTTCACACAACAAATTATAAAACGTTATTTTAAACTTCTAAAAAAACAATAAGAGTTTATTTAGTATGGGAAATGACAAAGTATAGGGTACTAAGTTTGTTTTGACTGTTTATGTATTATTTGCTGTTCACGTTTTGCCTAGAACATGGATAGCTTTCCTATTCATTGTATGAGAGAGTTTCTTAATTAAATTAACTTGTCTTAATATTTCAAAAAAGGTGAAAATGAAAAGGACAGAAAAATTTTTTCATTTGCAATCTGTATCTTTTTAATTTAATTAATTTCAAAGCACGAGTGATAAGTTGACGAGTTTATCGAAAAAGCTGTAAATATCAATAAATATACATCATAATTATAAACATTTTAAAAAGTTTTACGAAGATTTTCGTATTGAATTGTACATTGAAATAAAGCCCATGGATAACATAGTACCTCCCTATCTTACATATTTTGGATAGTTCTATAGTAAAAAGTGATTGTTCCATAGCAAAATGTGTTAAACTATCTAATTTGTCGCCGTTTTCTATAAAAAAATTAAAAAGCAATGATCGTGTTAATATGACTAACATAACGCCAGCCTGCGTTCAGTGTTGGCGTAATTAAGAGTACTTCGTGTTCTCTTCGTGTGGAAACAATGTTTGGAAATGCGAGGGGTTGTTGAATGCATGTATTTGTAGTATAATTATATAGCTTCGAAATAGAATAAGGAATATCGGGATCGCATAAATAGCATTTTCTTACCAGAATGTAGGATTGGGCATGATTACCACAGTGCTACAATCTTAATCGAAGCATATCAAGGCCGTCGGATGCGGGGGAGGGGACTGGGGGGGGGTGAAAGTGCGAAAGCAATTCAGATTTATTCAGATTTATTCTAGAGCCCCCCAATATTGATTTACTTCCGACGGCCTTGCATATTCAATACATTTTCAAAGTATGTAAAAACGCCATCAATATCCTCACTGATAGAGATCTAATAACACCGCAAGTTATTTTTGAATTTATGCGGTTATAATTACTCTGGACCTTGCAGAATTACAATTAAAGGGGTGCCCAACTGTTCCGCCAATATGGCCTTTTTTAATGCTTTCTTTAAGTTGTTTCCCTTTATGAAAGATAAATAGCATATATAACTTTCACACATTTTAGTATAGCATGGTTTCGAGGGCAATTCAGAAAAAAACATGCACAAATGAGTTTTTCAACGACGATTAAATTTTGTTTTTTTTATTGAAAAACTCACGAGTGTATGTTTCTCCAAATTGCACGAGAAACTATACTGGGCTATTATTTGTTAATATCCTGAAACGTTTACACGCTCGTGGAAACGTGGACGCGCACCTACGCCATTTAAGTATTGTTTTCATTACTTGTTAGCAAATCGTTTTAGTCTATGTGTTCCTTGTATTTTAATTGTTATATTGACGTACGTTTTTCCATTGAAAGTGTGCAAAAAGTCGTCAAAAAGTGAAAATTTACATTATTTGCCACTATCTACCTCCATGTTGATTTTTTGTCTCGTTTCCAGGCTTTGCTCTTGTTTTGTTAATTGCTGTCAGCACTGCAGTAATTGCATATTGTGCAATTTCAAAAATAATTGCACTGCTCTAATAGCCAAGCAGAATTGAGTATTTTTTTCATCAATAATATTAATAGTGAAATTCTGAATATTCACATATGAGAATTTCCTTCACAAGTGAAAGTATATGGCATAATTATGTGAAGTATTCTGAATTCTGATTTCATGCAATCAGTATTCAGTAATTTTTCATGAAAAAAAGCATGACCTCTCAATATTTTCTTTTCTTCAGGAGTGCAATGCAAGCTGCTTACAAGGTAATCTATGATTATCTTTCCTGAGCTCGTTATTTTGAGTTCTATTGCGAACACTTTTCTAATACCAACACCTCCCTACGTGCAACCTATTTTTTAAAATACATATAAAAAATAGAAACCTCTCTTTTTTGCTGCGTGCGTACGAATGTACTATTACTAGGTATAAGCTAGCTTCGACAGTTTTAAAAGTTAGATCATTTTAAACTCTGACTATTTATAATTATTAAACACCACCATATTCAATGTACTTTGATATCGCGATTTGTCATCGGGGAGCAGATCAATTGTTTTATCGACCTTCCCAAGGCGGAGGTTTTTTATCAACTCTTTCAGACCTGGAAAAAGTAAGATCTCGGGGTCGTGAGGAACACCGCTTTTCCAAGAATGCTGGGGAACATGTTCAATTTTTCACACTTTCGTTATGGGAGAATCTTAAGGAATCATTAGATCACATTTTCTCATCTCTCATATGAGACATTGTACAATTATAATAATTAATATAGTCAAGTATACTTTGTTGTTGCATGCATGCATGCGTGCAGACATTTTCTCCGTGCCTCAACCTTCTTATTATACCTATTATACAGTTCCACAACAGAGTTGTGCAAGTTTTTATGGATCCGGGGAAAGAGAAGATGGTGTGTATACTATTGATCCTGATGGCTTCGGAACATTCAAAGTCTGGTGTGATATGCAAGATGGCGGAGGTTGGACAGTGTTTCAAAGACGACAGGACGGAAGTGTAGATTTCTATCGTGGTTGGTCAGACTATAAAGTTGGTTTTGGTAACTTGACGGGCGAATTCTGGCTTGGGTTGGATAAAATACATCGTTTGACCAAATCTACCACTCAAAGTTTTTTAAGAATTGACATGTGGGATTTTAATGTCACGCACGCCCACGCCAAGTATAAAAATTTTTGTGTGGCTTCTGAGTCAGATGGTTACAAAACTAAACATTGGTGATTTTTCAGGTAAATATTATATAATAATGCATGGGAGTATAACAAATAAACTAAGCAGAAAACGTTAGACAGAACATTAATCCATATTAACGGTGTATGTACGTGCTTCGCTCGAAAAGTATAGCCTGCTTTAAGTTACAAAGCTTTAAGTACCAGTTAGCTTTAAGTACCGGTAAACTAGCTAATGTTAAAGGCCATCTTACACAAATAGGCAGTATTTGCTGCAACTTGCAATGCAATTTTTGATAAAAAGCCATGATGTTATTTGAAAAAATAAGTCATAGGGAAATTGTGAGCATGGCCCACAGTTTACACTACCTATATTTGTTATCCCATTTCTTTCATTTTTTATACCCATTAAGTTAGCTATATTCTAAAGAAAGTGCCACCAAAACAGAATGTGGGCCATCTTTAACTCTGTCACTATTTCATCTGGCAGAAGTATAAAGTTACAAAATAATCATCAAATTGAAATGGGGTGGGGGGGGGGGTGGTAGGGGCGT